TTTAGATACACAAAACCCTTTCAGGGAAAAAAATAAAATAAAAAAAATAAATAAATCTCCATAAACATTTAACCAGACTAGACGATGTCATCTTCCGCTTTGAATTTAGACACCCCAACCTTACCCTGACTTGACCTCTTTCAATATAACTGAGATATTGATACAAATTATTAACCCTTACGTCCCTTTTTTTAAATAATTGCTCTAGCCATTACCATAGTAATTTTAATTTTAATAATGAATATGCTTATAAAACGCGTAAATTTCAAGAATTAGTTATTCAAAAAAAAATTTCACTTGAAGATGGAACAGAGCTTGGTACTTTAATTCAATTTAATTCAAATAATTATATTGAAGTTTTCGGCTCTTGTTTTGAAACATGAGAACTCTTATGTAGTGATGGAATCATATTTTTAAATAAATAATTGTATATATATATATATATATAGAGAGAGAGAGAGAGAGAGAGACATGGCTTTGCACCCAGGCTTCTTTGCACCCACAAAGCACACACACACACACACACATATATATATATATATATATATATATATATATATATATATATATATATGAGATAGGATAGGATAAGGAACAACTAAGAAACATTTATAAATTTAACATGTTTTGTTTTTTATTTGAGTTTTATCAGAAAACAAAATATATAGGAGAAAAGAATATTCTGGTACTTTTTATTTTTGTGTTTGTTTTTCATTGGTTAAGCAGATCTCATGTGTATTTGTCCTGTCAAGCAGCATTCATGTGTATAATGTTTGTGTGTTTGTGTATCATAATTCTTGTTGGTCTATGTGGAATTTGAAAATATATGTGGCATTTTTATTTATGTCTGGTAATTGTCCATATGTTGATTGGGGATATTTTATGTGAGTGTGAAAGAATTTAGGTTATACTGGTTGTGGTTGACAGATGTTAGATTCTTTAAGTATAGATTTTATAAGAGTTAGTGATATAATAAAGTTTGTTTGATATGTGTTTATTGATGGTAAAATATTTATCAGAATTCCTTCTAAGTATTTTCTATGTAGTAAATTATGTTCTTTTCTAATTAGGGTAGCATTTATTAAATTGAAGTTATGGCCTGTTTTGTTTCTGTGTGTTATAAGTGTTTGTTTAGTTCAAAACACATCCAACATTATTGTGGATTTCGGAAAGCCCACAAGGAGACACCATCAACAATCTATTTAGAAATGCAGTTTTGCACTCAAAAACATACTCAAGCTCTGAGCCCAGGAAGGATCATCTCCCAGGCATATAGAAACTAAGGATAAAAAGAAAAATATTGAAGAAATTCAAAGCCATGCCTCATAGACAATCTGAAAAACTCCACAGAAATTCCATTTGCAAACAAACATATTCAGCTGCTGCTAAGAACAAGTTTGAAACTTTTAAATATATCAAGGATTGAAATTCCATTAGGTAAAGATGAATGATTCTACTTTGGCTGTATTAATGAATTTACATGGCCAATATTAAGCACTGTGTACACAATTGAAAAAGCTTTCAAATTCTATTAGATAAAGATTATTATTAGGCATTATTTACATAGCCAATATTGAACATTATGTTCACCTAGACAGGTTGCCAACCACAAGATCCCAGTCTGCCCTGCAGTTTAACCTATAGCTAGTGGGGTTGGGTGAGATGGCTTCATACCTTTGCCAAAGTTATTTGTGCATGAGTGAATGCAATAAACTCAACTGGAATTTGAAATCAGCTCTCCAATCTCTTATTTAAAACTGCTATGTATTACACCACCCACCCATTGATGATCCATAATTCTCATTGAGGGGAAAAAGTGATGTACATGTATCCTGAATCCTCTTCTGACTATTACTCAGAAATTGACTACAAAGCAGTGGCTTATCATGAAGACATTGGCAACTTGAAGGTGATTAAGGGGTCCTATCTAACACTATTTTGAAATCAGTCAGTCTTCTTTTCCTTTATCTGCCATGTCCCCTCAGGATATTGGCGATCATATGCTCTCCACAATTTCCTGTCTTCTGTAGCTCTTAATAAATTTTGTCTTTTTGTCTTTTATTATTTCTCCTTAATCCTGTACGGCCATTGATTTACTTCAGTTCATTAAGTTTGTTATGTACTGTTTTACTGTGTCCTGCTTTTCCTCAATCTGTCCCTTGTGAATATCAGATTTTCCAAGTCCTCCTTCCTCATTATGTGCCCCAGAAATTTCTTTCTGATGTTAAGTATAAGTTTCCTCTTTGTTTGCATTTTCTCTAAAACCTCGTTGTTGCTGACATGTTCAATCCATGGTATTCTCAGCATCCTTCTGTAGAACCACATTTCTGTTGCCTCAAGTCTTTTCCTCATCTTTGAAGAGATTGTCCAGCATTCACTAACATATAGAAAGACAGATATTACATAAAAGTTCAGTACTCTTTTCTTTGTTTCTAATAAAGTTTTTCTGTCTCTTAATACTCTATTTAGCATGAGACCTGGGTTCAAATCTCACTCAATTTGTCAGGAAGGCAATTCTAGCATGTAGCACCTTTGAAAAATGCCTAAAAACCATACCACACGTTAGCCCAAGTCTTGTGAATGAAACTGGGTAGACAGAACTATATGAAAGCTGTTAAAAGTCATCTTGACCAAAGTTTTGAGAATACTGACCTTATTCAGATTGTTGATCACATCAGATAATGCATTCTTTCCCAGAAACTGTAACTAAAGTCCACTCAGTATAGCTGCAGTATTAACCACAGGTGGGCTTCGTGGGTATTGAATAAACACAAATGTGCCTAAGCAGGTGCCTACAACTGAGATCGGCTAGTCGCACTAGCAGATAGGCATACTTGGACACAAGTGATTAGTATTACATAATAATAACAAGAAGAAAGAAAAAGGAGGTAATAATGCTCTCATACATTTAGTCTCTGTTCTAGTCAATTTTGAACCTTTTCATTTGTACCCTCCTAATAATATGCTTATGATTGTTATTGCAATATATTATTGGTTATCTCAAATAATTACTGATGCAATATTGTAATTTTCACAAGTACTCCTCTCTGCCCATGTCACGGTCGAAACTGTCTGCATCTTTTACTTCGGGCCTTCTCATCTTCCAACCAAAATTCCACATGACTTACAAAGATTGAAAAAGTAATCCTAAAGCAGCCACTCAAAAATCACCTAAATCCCTCAACATTTCATTCTCCAACATCCGTGACATTAGAACAAACTTCTGCAGTATGGAATCTTTTCTCACTGCAAACTACCCAGATATACTGGTTCTCTGTGAGACCAACCTTGTCTCGTCTATCCCCTCCTCTGATCTCTCGATCCCAGGCTACCGTCCTCTCCTCAGAAAAGACTCTCTAACCCACATGCACGGTCTTGGTGTCTATGTCAAGGACCATCTCCCTCTGGCCAGAGAGTTCTCTCTCGAATCACCAGACCAGTCGTACATGTGTCTCCGACTATCTCTTCTCAATGCAGTAAGCTATCTCTTCTTCCTTTACCGCTCTCCATCCTCTCAAGACTGTGGGATACTTGATAGCATTTCTGACAGCATAGACAAGGCTCTCTCCCTCCACCCGCTTGCTCACATATTTGTGTTTGGCGACTTTAACGCCCATCATACCATGTGGCTTAAGAATGCTACTACTGACCACACAGGCATTCAAACACTTAATTTTTCAGTCTCTCAATCCCTCACGCAGATAGTTAACTTCCCCACTCGTTTTGCTTTCAACCGGGAAGGTAAAGCCTTTCTTCTCGATCTGTGTTTTACCTCCATCCCTGAGTCCTGTAGCGCCACGCAACTCTGCCCTCTTGGTAACTCTGATCATGCGGTAGTATCTGTTAACATCTCCTTCAACTTCACCCCCTGCAAAGAACCTTCTACCACTAGAACTTTGTTCTACTATCAACGAGCTGACTGGGACGCGTTCTGTGATTCCCTCTGCGATGTCCCCTGGGATGGTGTCTTTACGCTCCCCATCCAAGAATGTGCTTCTGAAGTCTCATCCTGGGTTAAAGCTGGAATCGACGCTTTCATCCCCTCAAGGAAATATAGGGTCAAGTTGCGCTCCTCCCCCTGGTTCTCAGCTGCTTGCTCAGCTGCCATGACCCATAGGAATTCTGTAGCGACATGTCTGACTGCAATAGACATCTCTTTGCCTCCGCCCGTAACGAGTGTAAGCGTGTCCTCAACGATGCTAAGTCACTATTTGCTGCTCAGATGAAGGAGCGTATTGCATCTCGCAAATTTGGCTCCAAAGATTATTGGCATCTCTGCAAGAGTGTATTTAACAATTGCAAACCCTCTATACCTCCTTTGTTCAACCAGTTTGAAGTCCTGACCTCCTCTGCCGACAAGCCTGAATACTTTGCTCGGAAATTTTCATTCAACTCGACACTTGACTCTTCCGGTGTACCCATACCCGACTTCCCTCTTAGAACTGAGGTCCTATTGAGTGAGTTACACATAACCCCGTCTTTGGTATTGGGCATTATCTCCAATTTAGACCCCAACAAGGGTAGTGGTGGAGATGGGATACCAGCCATTGTCTTGAAGAAATGTGCACCTGAACTGGCGCCCGCCCTCTCTAAACTATATAACTACTGCCTCAAGGAATCTTGTTTTCTTGACTGCTGGAAGTCCTCTTTGATTTTTCCTGTCTTCAAGAACTCTGACGACCCCTCTGACCCTTCTAACTACCGTCCTATCAGTCTCCTACCCCTCTTCGGCAAAGTCTTCGAAGCCCTAATCAATACCGAGGTGGTTAACCACCTCACATCCCATGATCTGCTCTCAGACAAGCAATATGGCTTCCGCTTTGCCCGATCTACAGCTGATGTGCTTACGGCCATCACTGAAACTGTCTACCGAGCCCTTCAAAATAACGGGGAAGCTTGTGCCGTGGCCCTAGACATCTCCAAAGCAATTGATAGGGTTTGGCATGCCAGCCTTCTTTGCAAGCTCCAGGGTTATGGCATTACGGGTTGATTGTTTGACCTAATACAATCATTCCTGTCAAACTGTGAATTGAAGGTTGTTCTCAACGGATTCTCATCCAGTTCCTATCCCACGAACGAAGGTGTTCCTCAAGGCTCCATCCTATTCCTTATCTACATAAATGACCTTCCTGATGCCATAAATTCCCAAGTTGGCATCTACGTGGATGATACCACAATTTATTCCTGCCTCAAAAACAAATCTAGTGTCACTGACAAAACTAACCTGGCCGTGCGTCTCAAAAAGGACCTCCAATTGGTTGTGAAGTGGGGCAGGAATTGGCTGGTCAACTTTAATGCTTCAAAAACAAAACTGCTCTCTATTAATCACCACAGAGATCCTTCCCTGCCCTCTATTAGAATGTCTGACACTCAACTTCTCGAGAGCAACTCTCTGCGGCTGCTCAGTCTCACGTTGACAGCTGACCTGAGATGGAACAAATATATTGAGTCAATTGCTTCGTCCACCACAAGGAATGTTGGCTCCCTGCCACACCAGGAAATTTTTCTCCCCGGGATTGATCCTCCAGATCTACAAAGCAACAATTCGCCCTTGCATGGAGTATTGCTGCCATATATGGTCTGGAGCCCCTACTGTTTGCCTCGGGGTTCTTGATAGGCTCCAAAGGTGGATATGCACTATAATTGGCTCTTCCCTGGCATCTCGTCTACAGTCACTTTCCCACAGATGCACCTCTCTCTGTCTGTTTTACAAATACTTTCATGGTAATTGCTCCGAGGAGCTGCATTTGCTGGTTCCCAGACTTCATGAGTTCAAGCGCCCTACGAGGATGGCATCCCGCTCTCACCTTTTCACTGTCGAAACTCCTAAATGTAGCCGTCTCTTCTCCTCCAATAGCTTCATGTCTCGCACCTCTCGCCTGTCGAACTCCCTTCCCTATTCCAGTTTACCTGAGAGCTATAATCTCCAGCTATTCAAATGTAATGTCAATTGACATCTCCAGTTGCCGTGATCTATCCACTATCCTTCTCCTCATCCTTTCTTCTATCACTCCTATCTGATCTTGCTCCTATTTTCTGTAACCCCTTGCATCCTAGTGGCTTCCCGCCTTGCTTGGTGTGAAACGCTTAAAAAAAAAAAAAATGTTATGGTCAGAAAAAAGGAATTTAGTCATTGATTTTAGAATTATGACATCAGAAAATTCAAAACATAGGAGACCAATGAAATTTTCATAGGTACTGCTAGGAGACATTATATTGCCAAAAGTAAATGCTAGTACACCCCCTCCACACACCAAAAAACATAAAAGTACTTATTCTTACCTTTTTGTAATGTAAAATAAAATGGGCTTTAGTTGTTTTTATTCTCATAAATCATTTTAAAATTTTCCTGTGATGACCAGTTATCATGTGGAAACTTCATTATCTCATGATAAATGTTTAAAAAAAGACAAAAAAATATGTATAAACTTTTGTTATTTTCTTTTTATTAATCCAGGCTGATGAACTTGCAGGTTCTTCTCAGGTACAATTTTTCTTTTACTTCTCAATTCAGTTTACCTATTCTCTCAAAACCTTTAATTAATCATTTCACCCCAAGCAAAGCAAGAAATCTGCTAAGACACAAGGGGTTACTGAGTGTGAAAGAATAAGAGAAAGAGAAACATTATGAAAGGAGCAAAAAAAAAAGAAAGAAATAAAAGAAGAGGAATCAGGAAAATAGTAGATAATGATTGACCTTGCATTTAAATTTTTGAAGATCAAAGATGATTGAAAAGCAACAAGTGGGAAGACACATACAAATGAAATGTGCAAGAGAAGAAACTGTTAGCATAGAATTTATGGTTGCATCTAACCATTTTGAACTGCAAGATGATGCAATCTTGTTGCTAATCTATTACTATGCTTAAATGTTTGGACGTTTTTCAAATTCTTTAAAATAAACTCAACTTATTTTTGTTTTCACTTCAGAAAAATAAGCATTTAATGAGGCTCACATATAATTTTTTAAGATTTTCTTATTTTCACAATAGAGAACCTTTTCTGTCTGCCAGATTTGAGGCTAGCAGAGTTGATGCTATCCTCTAGAAAAATAACACTTTTCCTTTCTTAGGCTCATGTTTTCTAGTAGATGTCTCATTCTTATATGATTATTATTTTTTATGAATTTTGCCAAGAATCTTGAGATCTATACCAGAAGTACCAGATGTGCCAGTAATATTCAATGTATGGATGAATGATTGATTTATAGATTCTGACAAGAAAAATTGTCTGGTACGATGGAGTAGCAATTGATTCAATATAATCACTCTACTTCATGACTTTTCCTTTCTTAGGCTCATGTTTTCTACTAGAAAACATGAACCTAAGACAGGAAAAGTGTTATTTTTCTAGAGGATAGCATCAACTATGCTATCCTCAAATTCAAAAAAGGGTCTTCAACGTAATTGGTCCTGACCTGGTATCTCAACTTCAGTCACTTTCTCACTGATGTGACATGGCTGCCCTCTGTCTTTTCTACATATTTTCATGGCAACTTTTCTGATGAACTTTTCTCATTGGTGCCTCAACTGCATTTATGCATACTACTAGATTGGCAACTAAGTCTCATTGTTTTACTGTTGAAACTAGCTACACATAACAGTATGTTTTATTCAAACAATTTCTTTTCATATATGAATCTCTGTTCCAGTTTCTTGCTTTTCTGCCAGCTACAATCTTCAGAAATTTAAATGCAACATCAATCATGATCTTCTGTCGTCTTCCTGACTCCTGTTCTTTTATTTCCTTTCTCCTCACTAAAGTCTTCTCATTCTTTTCTACTCCAAGTAAACCTCTGTATCTTAGTGGCATTATTGCTTTGCTTGGGAGCGAAATAGTTAAAAAAAATAATAATAATTTCTATGATATAAGAATTTCACTTTGGTTACTTGTTTATATTATTATCTTTAAAAATAATAAATAAATGTCCTTTGCATAAAATAGGTCAAAGTTCTAATTCTTAAATTCATTGTAAAATGAATGGGACAACATTCTATTTACTCCATTGCTGCTTTTCAAGAGAAAAATTTTAATAAAAAATTTTCTGACATTTGCCAAAGAAATTATCTGAAAAGAATTGAATTCATAAAAGTACATAAAAGCCCAGTTAACTAAAGCACAGAAATTCTTTTTGTAGTTGCAAACAAGCTAGTACAGAACACTAACAGATTTTTAAATTTAAATTTTTTTTTTTTTTACAATGATGTTCAACCTGTACAAAGCCCAAGAGCCACTCAAGGTAGATGGTTACAGAGTAAAAGGCACATTTTATGGGGATATGTGAGAAAGATGACAGTTAAAACTAGAATTGAACATGTTAATTTTGTAGTGATTGGGGAATAATCTTAGGAGTAGGTTCCACAAAGCAGTGGTTGAATCTACTTGTGTGGAACAAGATGTCTGAATATTTTATGAAACCATTCAGGCCTTATCTAAAAATTAAAATTAAATATCAGGTTTAAAGAAGATAAATTTAAGAGATCTTTTTTTTAATTGTGTAATCATTATGGAAAAAAATGCAATACTAAACTTAATTTATACTTTAGAGCTTGAAGCATTTGATGTTCAGTTCCCAGTTGATGAGTTTCTGTAATAATACTTTAAAGTCAAGAAATATTTAGTTCTTCTAATCAAGCTTGTACTGGAAGTCCTAATCTAACTCTTATAACATTAGACTGAAATAGACTAAAGAATAGAACTCTCCCAAGAGGCATTTTTTTTAGAAGAAATGATTATTGTTGATTATAATATTCTTTTATATATGCTTCATGTTACCAGCAAGGACATGCTGCACAGAAAATTGAATCGACAAGTTCAGTTCAAGTTCAGGTCATGTCGATTGCATTCACATTTTGCACTAATTTTTTTTTTTTGCATTGATTCCCCACCATGGGTTAAATATCAGACTTTGCTCTCTAAGCATGAGTGGCATCCAGTCTAAGAGAACAACAATTTTGCATTCAAATCTGTGGAGAAGGCAATAGTAAACCATTCCACTACCTTTCCCAAGAAGTCATGACAATTCACAGATAATAAAGAAAATGAATATTACAGACAGCCATGATTGCCTATGTCTTGAAGAGACATGTCATTTAAAAAAAACAAAAACAATGTGACTAATAAGAGGTGGAGAACTCAAAGAATTAATAATAGGACTTGATTAATAACATTGGCCGGCGAATGTTTTCAACATTGAAAATATAATAACTGATTAAAGCAGTTTTTTTACACTGAATCCAAAAATCATATTCTTGTTTTTTTTAAGATACAAGCTCTTACTTGTAATGTATAGAACAGTATTATAACTCTATTTATTTTTTTGTTGAATTAAATAAATAATGCTAAATTTAGGGCTGAAATCCTCACAGAAAGCTCACATTGTACCATGGTAAACTGAAAAATACACAAAAGAAGCTATTCATGGATGAAAGGTCATTTCAAGGACTTCCTCCTGTGCTTGGCAGCCACACCATCCCATTTCAAGCACCAGCAGTAGTCAGCAAAAAAGTTTACATCCCACCGGCCTTGGTAGCGCTCTTCCATAATGCAAATGTTTTGGTAAAAGTGCTCACCCTGCTCTTCACTTAAATCTCCACAGTTCTTTGGAAAATAGCCCAAGTGTGACCACAGAAAGTGCAGGTTGACTGACATTCATGCCCCAAGTTGGTAGAAACTCTTCAGTAGCTCTTCAATTTCCTTCTTGTATTCTGAACTCCGGTGGTTTCCTAGGAAATTTGTAACTACTGACTTCAGTCACTGCCAGGAAAACAGTTCAGCTTCAGTCAGTGCTTCGTCAAACATGAGGTCTCTTATTTGAGGGCCATTCAATATACCAGCCTTGAGTTTCTTCATGCTTATCCTTGGAAACTTTTCTTGGAGGAAAGTGATATTTTGTCTACCCACCTTGGACCAGTCCAACCACCTTAAGATCTTCACAGATCAACCATTTGTGCTTCTGTTAGTTAAAATCAGACAGCAAATGATCCATTCTGCTGTGAGTTTCTTTCATTTGTACTGAATGCCCAACAGAGATAGATGGAAAATTATTCCCATTATATAGAATTGCTTTGAGAATTCTATTGGATGAGTCGATAAAAAGTCTCCATTCCATAGCATCATACTCTAAGCCTATTTCATTTGATCAATCCAGCAATGTTGTTGCAATAAACCAATGATGTCTTAATTCTCTCTCACAGTCTCAATACCAGTAGAATGTTGTTCCTGGTGTCAACAGATGTTTCTCTTTGAGACATGAATGCAGCAGCTGAGCAGACTCCTTTGAAAGGTTCAGATTTCATATGAGGTCATTGAGTTCTGCTTGCATCAAGGGTACTGGCTTGTCATCCTCTTCTGGCTTGTATGCATCATCCCCAGCTACAACAGTCATGTCACTATGTTTGAAATCAGAGCTATATTCAATGTTACTATCTGGCTTGGGAACAGGAAGGTCTGGGCCATGAAGGATTGGTGTTATGGCAGAAGGAACATCGGGGTATTGGACATGGTGCTTGTTCTTGCAATTTATTCCTTCTAGATTTATCATGCAGAATTAGCAGTCTCTAATGTAATCTTTTCCTTCCCTCCAGACAATTGGAATGGCAAATGGCATCCTCTTCCTTTTACCATTCCTCCAATCCCTCAAGTTCTCCACACATGTTTTACAGCAAACATGGGGAGTGAATAGCTTATCCTGATTCCCTAGTTTGACTCCAAAGTAATCACGATATGCCTTCTTCACAAAGTTGGTAATTTTTGATTGACAGAAAGAACCACATTACGGCAGTTATAACAGCACCTGTCAGGGTGCTGTTACACTTGCGATCCATTCTTACAGGAATACAAATGTCAAGTTGAAAAGAGAAAAAAATAAATCAGCACTGAGCTTGTCATTGACACTTCACACAGTACATTAAAACATTTTAAGCTGATGGATAAGGTATGTGGGTGTTAGCAAGTAGGGGGTACACTGTAGTTAGGTACACATACAACATTATATGCTATACTAAACATCAAGCACCCATGATCAGCTGTGACAAGTAGAGTCCACAGGTTTTTTGAATAAGTGTTATTATTGTGTACAATTTGTTGTGAAGTATTTAAGCACATCTTAAAAACCAGACCTGACCAAACATAATGAATGGTATTTTTGAATTCAGCATAGCAATTATATATCACTTGACAAACCTTTGACCTTTGGGGAAAATTTTAACGCAGACCAGTGTAATTTATCAAATTAAAGTAAAATAATAAATAATAATTACATTATATATATATATATATATATATATATATATATATATAAAGAAAATAAAAACTCACAACAATAACAACATTTATTAAGTTACATTAATTAACATTCTCCATAGTTTACCTTTCCTTATACAGTTAGCTTAAAGAATATTTATTAAAATGTTCTTAAATTAAAAATTTTGTAGACTTAACAATATTTTTCCTCCAGTTTACTTCAGTTTATAAATAGATATTGCAAAATAAAATCCTACATTTAAATTGATAAATATCCCTTTGGAGACAAAATGCATTGGTAAAGAAAAGTTTTTCCTTTTGTCTTTACTCATATATATATACACATACATGTATACATGCACGCACACACACACACACACACACACACACAAAGAATAAATATACCTTTGTTTCTCACCGTTCAATGCATGTAGCAATTGTCAGGCACAAATTAAAAAATGACCGTTGTAATATGGTGATATACAGGGTGATTGAAAAATAAGTCCCTCTTTTATGTATGATGGACTTTCCTGTCTAACTATAATTTTTACAAGGTAAAGTCCTTCATACATAAAATATGGAGTTATTTTTCAATCACCGTTTATATATATTAATAATAAATATGCATTTTCTTGTTCACTAGTGGGAAAATTCTGAGTTTCATGCAATCAAATATACACGTCTAATATGTATTTTCAAATCTAATACAAATGTACACACAAATATGATATATCCACATATACAAATATATTATATATGATATATCCACATATACAAATATATTATATATGATATATCCACATATACAAATATATTATATATGATATATCCACATATACAAATATATTATATACAACCACATTTACATAGATATACAAAAATGTACATAGAAATATTTATTTACAGTATGTTGTCATTCAGTTGTATTATTATATTTCTATCTATCTAGATATATGTATATATGTATGTGTTTTACTTTCTATATTTTGAAGATTTTATCTATAAAAAAAATATTGTTAAATGAAATCCAAGAAGAAAAGATTTCTAAACTGTTTAAATTTAATGTTAGATTTACAATTATAAAAATGTTTGCTTATTAATGAATTAATTTAATTCTTATATAAAATTATTTTGTTAATAACAGAAATGCTTTAAATGTTCTTTGTGAAATTGCTGACATCTAATATTTAAAAAATATTTTTTTTATTTTCTTGCCACAGGTAACTAGAAAAGAAGGACCTACATCATCACAGCCGGTAGGTCAATTGATTTCTGATTCCTTTTTTGTTTTTGTTTTTTTCTTTTTTCATTCTGTAAAAAATACCTGATTGTCTTGTTTTTTCAATCTCTATGTCTTTCTCAACAATTAACAATTCTAAATGACTGGGAAAAAACAATGAAAATTAATTTCTAAAAACAGGTTTCTCAATATATTTTATGCAGTAACATCCAAGTGAGATATTCTTTCAAGTGAGTTTCAAAATATGAGACAGTATATGCATAATAAGTAGAATTTTTGAAAGAAACAAATATATTTTCAGAGGTTGTCTCATAAGAAGTTAATTTATTGTAGGAATGGGAAGTATTCTCATTTTATACCTCCTGGTCAACAATATTTGGTGGACTCATGTGAGACTAGATAAAAAACAAACACAAAGCATAGAAATCAAACAAACAATAATTAGTAAATGTATTAAGAAAATATAAAAAAAACATTACAGAAAGAAATGAAGCTGAAGTTATGAACTGTTCAAGACAATCTTCCGAGTCTGTGTTTCTTAAGTACTTACATACCTCATGGCTTTTTTAGCACTAAAGGAAACGTGTTGTCATTCCAAAAGCCAAAGGGAAAAGAGGAATAGCCTTTCAAATATCATGCCATCTATGATTATCATTGAGGTGGTAATCCAACAAATGTGATGAGAAAAAAAACTTCATTTTTTTACAAACCAATGAAAGGCCAGTCTTATTCAGGCAAAAACCTGTTTCTAAATCAGATGTTATTGTTCTCTTTTTAATATTGTTAGAATAAATCATTTCAATTTGAAAGGATAGTGCTGCTATACAACTCATGTAAATGTTGATATGCGTTCCCTATTGTTATTTAAACCAAGTATTTTTTTTTCTTTTTAAAAGAATTATAATGAATACATATTTTTGCCAAAGAATTTCTGGTAATCTCCAGTTCTTATTGAAAGCCTACCATAAGTTTCAAGAATATCAACAATAGTAAAGTTGGCATATATGAAATATTGTTTATACACAAACAAGTAGCTGTAAATTATCTACAACATGTTTCAATATATGTGATTGAAGAAATTTAACTAATCGCAAAATAATTTTACTCCAGCCATGTTTAACCTTTGTTCCCACAAAAAATGGTGTGTCGAAAGAACAGTTATTCTCTAGACACTGCTATTACTGTAGACACTTTTGACTCCCTCGGAAATGTTTGTTTTAAAAAGTAATGATTAGAATTTGGATAAAACCCAAACGTATGAAAATGGATTTATACATTTTCTTTATTAAACACTATTCATTAAATTCTTTTATTATCTTCAGATTGAATACAAAATTTGTTTTTGTAGTTATTTTAAAACGGTAAATAATAAATATTACATATTTTGATAATTTTGTAATTTTTATAAATTTTTTAAAAAGATTTCTTTCAAATTTATGTCTTTATAAAATGGTAATTAACAAATCTTTATAAAAGGTAAATAATAAATATTGCATTGTACGTGGATCAGATATGTTTATTATCTTGTAAATAAACATTGCCAAGGGAGTCAAAAGTGTAACAACAATAGTAGTAGAGAGGTACCAAGGCAATAATAACCCTGCAATCATTTTTTTTGCAGACACAAACAAAAGTTAAACATTGCCTCTATTGTTATATAAGATCACATAAAAAGCTAAAATTTCTCCATGGAGAAGAATCTCAAATTTTGAATCCTACGACAATGAAGACAGAAATGTTGATTTGCTTATCTTAAAAGACAGACAAAACTTTGCATAAATAAAGAATATAATCTTGCATTTCATGTGGAACAGAATGTCTTTTCAGTGTAGTATTACTGTCAAGAAAAGCTTCCAGAAGCTTTCTCTTGTGCAAAAAATCATTATGATGCAGATAAAACCCAAATATAAACTTTTCTTCACACGTATTCTTTCACAATCATAACAGAAAAACAAAACTCTCAGTATTTTTTGCAACTTATTTGATTGACAACCGTTTTGTTTTTGCTATGTTGACTATCATATTTAAAATATAGAATAACAATAGAAACTATAAAGGTGCTCAAAAGTTCTCAGCCTAACCACCCTTTCCCAAAATATGATCAAATGACCAACCAAATTTTTTTTTTTATATCTCTTCTTTGTTAGATTAAGAAGAAATTTTCAGCACCCACCATAATTTACCAAAATCAGTAGTGTTTGGTTTTAGACCCATAGCAATAAATTTTATCATCGTCAGGTAGTTATAGTTTTGGAGGTAGAAAGACAAAAAAGCAAAAAAATGAACTTATTTGGTACAATTATTTTGGTTATTTGGTATGATTAATGATAATAATAATAATCATGAGTTTCATGACTATGGTTGTAGGGTTGGGGCACAACTGAATATCTGACCAGCTCCTCTCATAGATGATAGGTAATTTGGGTTAAAATGGGACCCACTTCACTCTTCAGTTATTCCATATGTTGTGTTTTGACTTGGAATATTCACAAAAGAGACTCTTATAAATATCCAATCCAAGAACACATAAAATGTAAGACAGAGGTAAGAGGAAATAGTCCAATTTAGGTTCATAAGCAATGTCTTTGTTTTTTATTGATTCATTGTCAGATGTCCTTAAATTAATTATTATTGAAAATAAATAATGACTTCAGTTTTTTTTTTCCAGTCCTTTATCTTGAATACTCTTCTTCCTTTTCTTCTTTGTTTTTTATGAGTTAGTCTTTATTTTTAATCTTAATCTTTTTATCAATAATTATTTTCCTTTTATCTTATAAAAAAATTGTAGCTATCAATTTTTTTTACAAATATTTACAGACTTGATCGTATTACAGTGTAATTATAATATGAAAAATAATAGAATAATAGTGATTAAAATGAACAAAAAGCGAAAAAAATAACAAACGTTGTGTTTTTTATTACCGTAAAATAATGGTAATATTGAAATATACTTTTTGTGCCGTCCGATGAGAGACGGTCATTTAACTAGCTAAAAAACAATTTTTTCTTGTTTCTATTCGCGATATTACCACTTTAAATGCAAAACTTTTTGTTCCTTTCCACTTTTTTGTTTTGGTTTGTTTTTCTTTTCTCTTCTTTTTTAATTCATTTTAAATTAAAACGAATTAAAACTTTTAATCGCTATTATTTTATTATTAATGTTTAACGCTAAATTAAAATTTAAAGAATATTTAAAAACGGAATATGTGAACAACTTTTAAGATAAGGAAAATAATTTTAACTTAATTTAAAATTTCTTAATATTACTTAAAATTTTAGTAAATTTTCATTTTAACACCTGAGCGCCATTCACTGCTGAACTATTTTCTTTCAGAAATTAGTACGTGCTTCCGTAAAGCAATTTTTTTTTGTACTTAATTTAAGAAGAAAGTTAACTTTCAAATATATTTAAACATCGACAAATAAAAGAATAACAAAAGAAAAAAAATCACCTAACCCTAATTTGAAAGTTAACTTTCTTCTTAAAAAAAATAAAAGAATAACCCCCCAAAAAACACCTAACCCTAATTTGAAAGTTAACTTATTAAAAAAAAAAAAAAAAATAAAAGCATAACAAAAAACAAAAAAAAACACCTAACCTTAATTTGAAAGTTAACTACAAGGAATTACTGTGAAGGAAGTAAATAGGCCCAAATTGTATACGTCCACCAACAAAATTCAGCACTGAATTACTTATCAATAAGCCGGTAATGGCTGACGAAAAACCAGGAAAAAGTCCGATTTTTTTCGGGTCGTTAACATCCAAAAAGCTAGGTTTCTTCAATATCTAATTGTTGATTTGAGTTCATCATATACATTTGCACGGAAATAAGACTATTTTGGAAAAATTTGAAGGGATATTAGCGCTCGAGTGTTAAAATGAAAATTTACCTAAATTTTTAAGTAATAGTAAGAAATTTGTTTTGAAATCTTCAATTATACATATTTGTTATATGCTTGTTATAAAAACACCGATTTAAAACTAAGAATAAGAATTGATTAAAATAAGGTTTTTCAATCTAAGGTAAATAACTCTTGTTAGACAAGTTACTTCCCTTGATTGTGTTTATATTTCGTGGCTCACAGAATTGACATAGAAAATTTAAAATAACCAACTTGAATTAAGTGATCGATAGTCGTCGTTTAACTCCATGATTCCATACATGGTCTAAAGTGAAATCATTTTATTATCCGTATTCTTCAGTAACACAACTTGACGACATGTTTTTATTGTCTTTATTTATCAGGCTACACCTACCCCGACACCACCTCAAAATAGTTCATGCTGTGAAATTCTTTGAAACACTCAATGGATTGGTTCAGTGTTGCCTGAAGAAGCACAATTTATTTCATAAATAAATCACTCTTTATAAACTTGTCCATTGTTTTGCTTTTGAATATGCTCTTCAAATTATATTTACTTAAATATGTTTAAGTTTAGCACTTAAGGTTGTTAAAATGCAGGGACAATTTTAAAAAGTTTCTATTGAATTTAGTTTTTTTGTATATTGCATTTTGTGAAAAATAGGAATATTTTGTAGGCTGATATTAATACAGTTTGAAACATTTAATATGAAATAACCCTCCTTTTTCTTCTCTCTCTCTCTCTCTCTCTCTCTCTTTCTTTTAATATATCTTTCCATTTTCTATCTTATCTAGCTATTAAATGTATCTCATCAAGGCAAAAATTATTTTCACTATTATCACGAATGTTTCTTGCAGATATCAGATATTTTTAATTGATCTTTACAAATTATAACTATTCAAATGTAAGATCTTAGAAAAAAAAACGTTACTTTAACTTATTTTCAAAATTGCTAACATGATAAAACTTATTTTATTTCTAAAACTTGAGGGTGACATTTCAATTTAAAACTTGAAAGTTTCTGTTTTGTTGTCTTTCATATTAATACAGAAGATAACCTCTATCAATTAAAGACACACTTTTCCTCTTACCTCTATTTATCATTTTATTTCTTTGTTTTCAGCTATATAAGTTGCTTATCATTAATTCTG